AGCTCTTTGCTGAAAAAGTTAAAAATGAAATAAAAATAAGGCAAGGATTAGGAACTATAAATTATAATAACTTAACATATGGAGAAATAATACAAATTATAAATATAACAGGATTAAAATTATGTAATGATATTAAAATGCAAAAGAAAATATACAATGAAACAAAACAAGGAAAACTTGAATTAGGAGATTTTTGTGAACAATATGGTTTTGAAAAAATACAAGCTCCTTCAAGAAGAAAAAAGAAAAAACATTATATAGAAAAATATAAACCTCATTATAAGAAAAAACCATATAAATATTTTTCCAAAAGAAATAAATATAAGACTTATAAAAAAGATAAAATCCAAAATAAAAAATATAAAGAAATTGTTTGTTATAAGTGTGTAAGATTTGGGCATTATGCCTCTAAATGTAAATTAGAAAAGAAAATTAGAGAATTACAGATAAGTGAAGAAAATAAACAAAATCTACTTAGAATAATGTTAGAAGATAATTCTTCTGAATCTTCTGAATCTAATTCAGAAATATCTGAAGAAGAAGAAGAATTAGAAAAAATTTTTAATATTAATATAGATACATCCTCTTCAGAATATTCTTCTGAAGATGAATGTCAAGGTAAAGAAATTTGTAATTGCTCAGAAAAATTACAAATAAATACCTTAGACAAAGAAAATTTAAAATTTTTAATAGAAATAATAGATAAAATTCAAGATGAAGATATAAAAAATCAATATTTATTAAAAATAAAAGATATTATAGATAATGAAGAAAGAAATAATTCCTTTTCCTAACCCATGACTTCTTACATTTGTTGTCGGTCCATAATTGCTTCAACTTTTTCTTTTCTTTTTGCCTGCAATTTTGCTTTCCCGTGATTTTTGGTTGTCTTGTTGTTTGCCTTTCCGTCTTCTTTTCTTGTGACCCTTGTCTGCTTTTCTTCTTTCCGTCCTTTATTTTCTTCTTTCGGCGTCCCTTTGTTGATTGCTATTTCTTTTTATGAGCAACAAGTTGAAAGTCTTTATAGTCGGCGCCATAAAGTTCTTGCTCTATATCTGTTTCTTCATTTGTCTCTTCTTCTTCTGTATTATTTGGATGAGTGGATGATGACGCTACTTCTTCAGATACTACTTGAGAAGCTACATCATTGATTAAAGTGGCCCACTCTTCTTTTTCTTTTTTAGCTTTAAAGTTTTGATGGGTTTTTTGAATTCTAAACATAATTCTATATTGTACAACCATATATGTAGTTCCTTTAGCCCATGTTCCTTTACTTCCCATTTCCATAACTAATGATTCTTTACAGTTATGATCTTTTAATCTAGTTACATAATTTGGAAAACAATCAAAATATATAGGTCCTTCAAATAAATTTGATTGTATAATCCCTACTATTGATTTTTGAAATTCACGTTCTTGTCTTCTATCTCTTAAACATATAAATATAGGTTCATCTAAACCTAATCGAAAATTGGGTTTAACTGCAACTTGTATCATACCTATGTGCATCCAGTTATATTTTTCTTTATATTTCTTTATGGTTTCATCAAGTATCATATATATATATATTGTCTTTCTTTATTAATTCCTATTTCTTTTTCTATAGTTTGAGTTACATAAGAAAAATCAAAACTAGTAACTTTATATATTTCTTTTTCTTTAAATGTTGGCATTAACCAGTTGGTCAATAATTCCTGTATAGTTTCTATAGTTATTTCAGATTTGCCAGAAATTTGGTTATCACTTAGTTCTTCTAATTGGTCAGGTTCATTTATTTCCTTATTACTCTTAAGGCTTAGACTCATCCATCTATATTCCATTCATATATTGAAGAGCCATCATAATGAGATGCAGACATAGTATATCTCTCTTCAAATTGAAGATCCGGGAGTGTTGGTCTCGGATAATAATTTTTTATATTTTTATATTTAGTTTTTGGATTAAATTTTACTTTATTTATTTTCATTTCTTCTGTTTGCCTATTAATAACATTTATTGTTTCTTTAAAACTTAAAGATTCTAATTTTTTACGAATGTCCTGCAATAAGTCTATTTGTTTATCTTTCATATCCCATTTTTTTAAAGTCATATTTTTTGCTTGTTCTGCAGATATAGCTTCATATTTAAATATTGGTCTTTGAGGATTTATAGCTAATTTTTCAAGAATATTTTGTTGTATATTATTATTTTCTAATTTGTCTTCTATTCTATCTAATTGTTGTCCTAGGCTGTGAATAGCTATATTTGAATAATTGTTTTGTTGAACAATTTTCTATAATTCTTTATTTGACTATATGGATTTCCTTTAGATTCTTTATGTGTAATGCTTATAGATTAAGAGGCTACAAGAATATATTCATAATATATTCTGTCTTTTTTGGAATGTTGAGGAATGAAATTCCAGTTTCCTTCAATTGGGTGAGAAGGAAATATGGCTTGAATTGTGTCGGCTATATTTTGTTTTCTGAATTTTGGTTCTACTAGGCAAACATTCATGATGAATTCTTTTGGAATATATTGACTATACTCTATTTTCTTTGAAGAAGAGGCTTCTTTTTGACTTACTATCTGGTTATATGTCTTTGGCTTAAGAGATTTGTCTGATACATAATCTCTTATAGTCATAAGTCGATATGGCTTTTGAGGAGTATTTGGCTGTATGGTGGCTTTTCCTTTTCCTTTATCCTTCTTACTCATCTTTAACTTTTTCCTATAAGAATTCTCTTGTTAAAAAATCTGATAAAGAATTTTCTTTTCCTTTTATAAACTGAATTTCAAAATCAAAACAAGATAAAATTGCTTGCCATCTAGCAAATATCTGTTTTGAAACAAAATTTTTAACATCTTTTTGTAAAACGTCTTTTGCTGCTTTACAATCAACTTTTATTAAAAACTTTTGATTTATTAAATCTTCTTGAAATTTTGAAATACATAAAACAATTGATAAAATTTCCTTTTTTATGATGGAATATCGCTGTTGAGCCTGTGACCAAATTCCAGAATGATATCTTACTATTTTTTCTTTATCATTTTCTACTTGCTTTAAAATTCCTCCATATCCTATTTCTGACGCATCTGTTTCCACTATTTTAAAAGCTAAGGGGTCAGCTATTCCTAGACATGGTAAATGTTTTACTTGAACCTTTACTTGTTGTACTATTTTTGTCATATTAGCTGTCCATTCTGGCGGATTCTTTTGAAGTCTTTTAAAAAGTGGGGCAATTATTGTCCTAATTTGTGGCACAAAGTCAGCAACATAATTAAGACATCCTAAAAATCTTTGTAACTGTTTTTTATCTAATATTTTATCAAGGAATTTATCAGCAAATTCTATAACTCTACTGGTAGGTTTTATACTTCCTTGATAAATTTCCATACCAAGAAACTTAATTTTGGTTTGAAATAATTTCATTTTCTTAGATGATATTACTAAACCATTTTTCTTAATAGTTTCAAAAAATTGATTTAAATGTTTAAAATGATCTTCTATTGAATTTGAAAATACTAATATATCATCAATATAGACTATTGTGAATTTTGTAAATGGGTTTAAATATCATTCATTATTTGCTGAAATTCTAAAGGAGCATTTTTTAATCCAAATGGCATTACATTCCATTCGTAATGACCAAAAGGTACTGTAAAAGCAGTTTTATATCTATCTTGTTCATTTATTAAAATTTGATAATATCCAGATTTCATATCAAACTTTAAAAATATTGATGCATTAGATAATCTTCCTAATAAATCTTTCTTATTAGGAATAGGGTATCTAATCCATTTTAAAACTTTATTCAAAGGTTTGTAATTTATTACTAATCTTGAAGCTCCTCTTTCTATTTCTGTAGAATTTTGGACATAAAAAGCAGAACAACTCGGACTTATCCATTAAAATATTATTTTCTTTCTAGCTATTTTAGTAATTATACCTTCTATTCCAACTTTAAAAGGTATAATTTGTTCCAAAAATGGAGTTCCTAAAATAGCGGGTTCACTTAAAGTTTTTACTAACATGAATATGTTTTTAAAACATATTCCTTAATTATAAATATGTGCATTTGATAATTTATATTTTATATCAAGACGGGAATTGTTTGCTGTATCAATTTTGACTTTTTTAATTTCAGGAAAACTCACTAGGCACCTCCCCGTATTTTCCCGGAAACGAATTAATTGAAGGGGAATATTTTTTACTGAGGTACTCCTTGTCTTCAGGCTAACCGGCCCCGTCGGGGAAGCCAATTAGAAAAAAAATGTAATTATCGTATTTTATTTTTACAGCTCATACAAAAATATAAAACAGTAAAATATGTCCCCAATCCTCTCATTGAGGAGCATTCACATGGCAACAGTTCCATCTTTGCTTAAAAATTCATGCTGGATGAAAAAAAAAATGAAACCGTGAGATAAAGTATAGTTTTAGAGGAATATTTTTAATAATTTTTCTATAGTTATATGAATAATTGGGTTAAAAAATAGGATGTCACCGATAGTGGTAGTTCGGGTTACTTGAGCATCATTTCAAATTTTATCCTAATCTTTGATTTAAATTATCAATTAATAGCGAAATATAAAAGTATATTATAAATATAAATTTCTTATATATTCTTTATATTTTTTAAAATTAATATATTAAATATATGATTCTAATTTAAATATTTTTACTTTTTTATAATTATAGATAATTATTATCTTATGATTTTTTAGATAGTAAGATTATTTTTAAAAAAATTTAAAAATATACCCAACAAATATTATTTTCATCAATTTGGCCTGAAAACCCCTGCTCCAATGAATCCACAATCTCAATGGTACCATGAAAAACACTCGGCAGGTAGTGACCTTGTTACCTAATGGCTTAACGAGGACATCTAGTGTAGTCAAAGTCTCAAACGCGTCCTTGAGGGAAACCAGGGTAAAATATATATATATATATATATATATATAAAAGCACCTAATCAAAGAGGGAAGCCATCAGAGAAAACCAAGCATCATTCTCTGAGCTCTTCAAATAATTCCAATCTATAATCTGAAGCAAAAGGGCCACCCAGAAGTTGAAAAGAAATGGCCGAGAGTGCAGTGTCGTTTCTACTGAGCAAGCTGACTTCCATACTCGAAGAACAAGTGCAGCTGCTGAGTGGAGTTCACAAAGAGGTTCAGTTCATCAAAGATGAACTAGAGCGCCTCAGTGCCATCTTAAGGGTGGCTGATTCTTTGGAGGACGAAGACCCTGAACTCAAAGTTTGGGTGAAGCAAGTCAGAGATGTGGCTCATGACATGGAAGATGCCATAGATGAGTTCACTATTCGCCTTGTGAGTCATCGTGAGCAAGGCCAAAATTCTTGTCTCAGCAGGTTTTCTTCCGCCATCAAGGCTCTCAGAGCTCGGCATTGGATTGCTTCTGAGATTCAAGAGATCAAAGGCAGATTGGAAAACATCTCAAAGGGTCGTTGCAACATGACTGAGACTGGATCAAGCTTCCGTAATCAGTATACATCAAGGCTTGATAGCCAAGACGATGCGCTTTTGCTTGATGAAGCTGACCTTGTGGGTATTGAGAAGCCTAAAAAGCATTTAATTGACTTACTTTTCGAGGAGGAACCTGGAAGAGTAGTGATTCCTATTTATGGAATGGGAGGATTGGGGAAAACCACGCTGGCAAAGCAGGTCTATGATGACCCAAAAGTGAAGAAGCTTTTCAGGATGCACGCATGGGTCACTATTTCCCAATCTTTCAAGATCCATGAGCTCCTAAGAGAGCTGGTTCAACAGCTCCATAAAGTTATAGGAAAAACAGCTCCTGCAGAAGTTGGCACCATGAAAAGTGGCAGTCTAAAGGAGGTGATCAAGAGTTTGCTTCTGCAAAGAAGGTACCTGATCATCCTGGATGACATTTGGCGAGTAAATGCATGGGATGCTATTCAACATGCTTTGCCTAACAACAACTATGGCAGTAGAATCATACTCACAACTCGGAATAAGGATGTAGCAGCTTATTCTTGCACCAAATTCCATGATAAGGTCTATAACTTGGATTTTTTGCCTCAGCATGAATCATGGTCTCTTTTTTGTAACAAGACCTTTCGAGGGAATCCATGTCCTCCTCATTTGGAGGAGTCTTGCAAGTGTATCTTGAAAAGATGTGGGGGATTGCCTCTTGCAATTGAGGCAATCAGTGGTGTTCTGGCTTCAAAAGACAGAACCAACTTGGAAGAATGGTTGATTGTTTGTAAGAGTTTTGCATCTGAAATTGAAGGCAACGACAAACTGGAGGATACAAAGAAAGTGCTTTGTTTAAGTTTCAACGATTTGCCATATTATCTTAAATCATGTTTGTTGTACCTAATCATCTTTCCAGAATTTTATGCTATTGAACGTATCAAGTTGATTCGGTTGTGGATAGCTGAAGGATTTGTCAATGGAGAAGAAGGAATGACACCAGAAGAAGTTGCAGAGAGTTATCTGAAGGAGCTCCTGAATAGGAGTTTGATACAAGTGGTAGAGAAACACAGTGATGGCAGGATCAAGACTTGTCGTATCCATGAGTTTCTACGGGAGATCATCAATTTAAAGTCAAGAGATCAGAACTTTGCAACAATAGCCAAAGACCAGGACATAATCTGGCCAGAGAAAGTTCGTCGTCTATCAGTAATGAATAGTTTACAGAACATACAGCAAACTAAGACCTCATTCCAACTACGTTCTCTGCTATTGTTTGCTTTATCTGATTCACTGGGTCATTTCTCCATATCTACATTATTTTCAAATAATTGCAGGCTACTTAGGGTGTTACATTTGCAGGATGCACCTTTGGAGTCGTTTCCTGCAGAGATTGTCAACCTTTTCCACCTCAAGTATCTAAGCTTGAAGAGTACGAAGGTGAAAAATATCCCAACCTCCATCAAGAAGCTTCAAAATTTGGAGACATTAGATCTCAAACATTCCTATGTCACTGAATTACCACCTGAAATCTTGGAGCTGCATCAACTACGCCACCTCCTGGTGTATCGCTATAAGATTGAATCCTATGACAATTTCAACTCAAGGCGTGGTTTCAAGTTGCCAGGCTTGATTGGATGTATGCAATCTCTGCAGAAGCTTTGTTTCATAGAAGCAGACCAAGGAAGTCAAGACTTGATGGTTGAACTAGGAAAGCTAACCCAACTCAGGAGGCTGGGTATGAGAAAGCTGAAGAAAGAAGATGGGGCTGCTTTGTGCTCGTCCATTCAGAAGATGACCAATCTCAGGTCTCTGTCCATAACCGCAAGAAAAGATTATGAGATCATTGATATTCAGAACATAGCCAAGCCTCCTACATACCTTCGGCGATTGTACTTAAGAGGACGTTTAGAGAAGTTACCTAAATGGATTACCTCTCTCCAAAATTTGGTCAGATTGTATCTAAAATGGAGCAGTTTAAAGGAGGATCCTCTAATATATCTTCAAGATTTGCCCAATCTAATACAACTTGAGTTTCTGCAGGTTTATGTTGGCGAGAAATTGCATTTCAAACCAATGGATTTCCAAGTCTGAAGCTTTTGGGCCTCGATGATTTAACTAATCTGAAATCTATGCTTGTAGAGGAGGGGGCGATGGCTAATTTAAAAAGGCTGATCATCCAGCGATGCGGATCATTGAAGCAGGTGCCTTTAGGCTTAGAACATTTGACCAAGTTAAAATCAGTCGGTTTCCTTGATATGCCTGATGAACTGGTCATGGCAATACATCCCAAGGAGGTCAAGATCACTGGAGAGTAGACCACGTACCAGTTGTTCATTCAATCTACTGGAGGTCAGGTGGTTGGGATGTTTACTCAATAGAAACTTCAGGGGGAACACGAACAGAGAGTTCTTCTAGTTTTAGTGTCAATGACAAGTCATGAACTTCGTTCTCTCTGGGAATTCTAACTTGCCTACGAAATGTAAGGCTTCTTGTTGTTTGTTTTGTTTTTTATGAAATGTATCAAAAAGAATGACTGCAGAGTCATCTCTTTGCAAGTAAACCAAGATTGAAATATTCAGCTTATGGTTTTGCAACGCGTTCATGATTCCTTAAATTTTGAAATGCTTACAGAACAGTAAAGCCAAGGGATTAGCTGGTTTTTCATGTGATTCAGAAGCAGAGCCCCATGCGGTGAATTGATCAGTACGGCGGCAGCATAAAATCATGAATAATTCCTTTGTAATTACTCTTATCAAAATTCAAAATACGTATTCCTTAGTGAACAGGATATTTTTCCCAATGCTATTCACTTCTCTTCTTCAACTTCCTGCAGAATTTGACCTACTTGACCAGTGCAAGTAAAGCCGTGTCCTTTGAAGTATTTTTGTTG